CATCAAACTGCATGCCTCCAAATTCTGAAAAACATAGTGTAGGTGATGACATAAATAATATTTTTTGTTAGTTTTTAAATATATCACATAATTTGTATGTTAACTGAGGTTTCAGATAATGTCATTTTCTCATATAAACCATTTTTAGTGTATAGCAGCATCTATCAGAAGCAGTGGTGACACTGCACTTTAATTCGAAGCCATTTCAGAAGTCTTAAACCCAGGCACATTATTTCTTCATGTGAAAACATGGGTTGAACCTCTATATGCCCTCCTCCCAGATACCACCCCAGAGCCCACTTCCTAACCTTCAGAGGTATTTCATTCACTGAAGCCTTAAAATTAACATTGTCTACACCCCCAGCTCTATTCAATTTTACCTAATTTGAGGTGCCTAATTTTGACAAACCTTTTTACCTATATTGCTATGAAAATAATGGATTGCTGCAGATATTCCAGGACAACTGGTTGTCTCTCAGATACATCCTGTAGCATAACTTTCACATCATTGCAGCCCTGTGTGGGCAAAATGGCCTCTTCTTCCCTGTGGGAACTAAAACTGCTGCGCTAGTTGACAAAGCCAGCACTGACTTTAGGTCCCCCACTCACTTCTGTGAGCCCCATGCTGTGTCTGTTCTCTTGTAAGTTCATAAGGCACAGCACCTCTCTACATAGTCATAACACCCAGCTCTCCTCTACCTACAGAAAGGCCTTGCTAACCAAGCTCTCCAACATCTTATATTATTGTAACGCTTTAAATCCAATCATCCTCAGACTCGTTCCTGATGACAGAGAGCCCAACTCCATTCCACTTGATTGCCTTGAAACTGTAGAAATGATCTCAAAGCAACAAGAGGATCTCTTAGACATCTCCTTAGACAACCCAGACTTTTATTTTGTGATGTCTCCTGTAAGTGAAATTGCCATACTGTTATGCCATAACTGGTTTCCATAACCAGTTGTGCCATGATTTCCCCACTTGAAACATACACTTTGTTGATTGTAAAGTCAGTCCAAGCCACTAAGCCCATAGCTCTAACTGGCATTTTCACACTGACAAAAGGGCAAACTGTTATGATTAACACTGACTCCAGATATGTTCCTGGAATTTGCTGTGCTATTGGCACAATTTGGAAATCCTGCAGCTTCTTAGCCTCTGCTGGTATTCCTATTGCCAATGGGCATGTAACTGCTGCCCAATTACAGGCTATTCACCTCCCCACTAAAATTGCTATTGTTTATTTTCCTTGTTCAAATGACTTCAAGGATCAGGCCCAAAAGTCCTGCAGAGCACTTTTCTGTCATTCCGTATATTAACCAATCAATGCACCAGCTTCATGTTTTTCAGACTTTAAAACAGTTTTAGTGAGCAGAGTTCTATTTTCCTCCAATAAATTCTTATGTTGAAACCCAAGTTACAAATCAGATAAAGATAATACCATGGGAGGGCTGAGGTTTAGAAATAACCTCTTCAGCCCCATGTCTTTGATCTGATGGAGGTCATCTGAATACCCTATTTCTGGGTCAATGGACCACTCTCTGGTCCTAGGGCACTGAGCACCTCCACCTTCTTGACTAATTTTATGTCCTTGTTTCTAACAGAGCCACAGACAAAAATGTTCTTCCTCTGCTTCCATTCCCATTTAGTCCTGTTAAAAACATTCTTTCTTCAAATACTGCCTCTTCCCTGAGTACTTCTTGGATTGCCAAGCCAAAAGCTCTCTTTCACTCCCATGGGGTTCTTGGCTCTTGACTTGAACTTCTGTTGTGACATTTAATGCATTCTGATCAGCATCAGAATTGTATGATTATTCTCATCTTCATTAGTATGGAAGCCCCTTGAGAACAGGACCTGTGGTTTTCTTATCCCACAGTAGCTGGCACGATGCCTGTGTTTAGCAGACTTTTGGTTAGTGCTCACTGATAAATGGGTGCATAGAAAAATGAACATTGGTTTTCTTGGTTTTACTCTGACTTGGATTCATTGTCTGGCTTTTGACCCTTAGCATGCTCTAATTCTTGATACCTGTTTTTCTCTTCTCACACTCTTACTTCTTTTTCCACTCGTGGAATTTGGACAAGCATTATAGTGGACAACTAAACTTGCCAGCTCCACATGACTTTGAGATCTATGTAGAAATGTGTCTTGAGAGTCTCCCCCCTCTTCCTGTGTCAAGCTCTTCACCCAAAACCTAGGACAGTGCCTGGGACATCATAGGTAATCAACATCTTTTGTTGAATTCTTGAATACATGAGAATGATTTATAAAAAGAGAAATTTTCTTTTTAAGCCAAAGCTAGCAGTGTTTTTAGCCTGAGCTGCTGTAGAGAATCAGCTGTAGCAACTTCATAGGTATCCATGGAAAGATGATGGTAGTGGTTCTGGAAATTATCTATGGCTTTCCAGTTCAGATCTGGGGCTGCCTGCTTAGTTCTACAACTCAGCAGTCAGTCATATCTATACAAACCTCTTATTTGTACTGCATTTTTAGCTTGGCTTTTCCCTTGAATGCTGTTCTTGATAATGACTTACAAATTTTTATTCTCAATAAAAATGTCAGAATTAGAGTGCGACTCTTCTGAGGCCCTGTAATTGTCTGCAGAAGGCCTTAACCATAACCACAGTGGTCAGAGCAGTGCAGGTTACAGCAGGTGGCTTACTGAGAGACTGTGCTTGCTTGATGGGTTTTTTAATTTCTTGAGGGTAAAGAAGATTAAAGTGATGTTTTTGGCTTGAATAACTACCTTTGAAATCATACGAAGGTTATACCCTGGATTCCCAAACTTCTTCACCTGTTTTCCACTGCAACTTGCAGAAAAATGCACTATCACACACACACACACACACACACAAATTAAGGCATTACAAATGCTAATTTCTTGGTTTAAAATTCCATAAATACATTCATTTAAAAAGATTCGAATACAAAGTATTTGAACAGTATACAAAGTATAGTGATCAAAACTAGAGCATTTGCCTTCTCATGTCTAATTTACTTTCTAAGTTGCAACCACACTTCTAAGTTGACTGGTCATCTTTTCAGTCCATTTTACATAGACATCTATGTTTTCCTATATTATTTTATTCTGACACACATTATACATAGATTAAACTGCATGTATCAGTTAGGGTTTAATTTTAGCTGCAGTACCAAAAATAAATGACTTAACCAAATGAGCATTTATCTATACAAACTAATACAAAGTCCAGGAATGGTAGGAAGATCCACAATGCTATGAGGGTCCCAGGCTCTTTCTATCTTTCCAATTTTACCCTTAGTTAAAACTTTAACCTACACACTTTTTGTCTCATGACCCCCAAATAGCTGCTAAATCACCAACATTTTTCTACATTCCAGAAAGGAGGAGGGAAAGGACAAAGAGCAATGACTTCTTGTTGGAACCAGTCAGCCAGAATGCTGCCACTTAACCTCACCAAGCTGCCAAGAAGTCCAGGATACAGTTTTTAAATGTTTTTAAAATTGGGCACATTGTCTCCCTGAATAAGATCTTACTCAATAGATACATTTCAGCATAATATAATTGTGAAAATGAAATGAGAAAGTGGACATAAAGGCACTTTGTAACTGCAAAGCATTCCATAATAAAGTAACCTAAAATAACCACAATAAAGTAACTTTATCATAGTCTATTGTTATTGGCTGTGATAATTAAAATACATTAAATTGTATTTTAATTTACCAATATCTTCCTAAGAAAGATAATTCTTAGATTGAGATTTTCCTAAGAAAACCATATCTCCTACATACACTGTGTGTGTTTTAATTGTCTTGCAAAATTTACATAGAAATGATTCTGATGTTGGGGACATGCTTATCTTGGAAAGCTTTGTGCCCACAGAAAAATCAACATAGAATACACTTGCTTGGTGTCATTATGACTTCTGCACACTACCAGCCCATCTTGGGGATTAATTACGACAAGAAGTTCTCAGTCTTACAAGGGGTATTTAAAGAAAAAATCTGCTACCTTTATACAAATACCTTGTGCCAATACCAAATTCCTGGTTTTGAAATATAATTATGAAAGATGGAACCACTGAGAGCTGAGTACAGGGTATATTGCAACTACCTGTGAACTTATAATTATTTCCAAATAAAAGTGTAAAATAAAATTCTGCTCCCTCAAAAAGGAAAGAATTAGGAAACACATTATTGATATCAAGTAATGTAAAAGTAGAGACTGGGAGGTAACTGGCTGTTCCATTTTTAGAGGACTTGCACTGCCCTCAGGGTAAGCTGGCAGCACCAGAGAGAGGTGCGAGAGATGAGGTGAGCTGTGTTTGCAAGCTCATGAGGCTCTCACTCACATGGTGTTTTTCCAGGGAATGCTGCCAAACAGTCTGTTTAAGAAAGACTGGGCAAATCATACCACAGATAGGTTGGGCAAAATCACAGGGGAGGAGGCCTGATGAAAATACCTTCCTCTCTGGAAAGGACAGAAAAGATTGATTGTCCTGAGTTGTGCCTTTTCTTATTCCCATCTGTTTCCTCCCTCTTCCTATAATCATGCTGGAGCCAGTGAAGAGGGCAAGGTGGGGGCAGTTAAACCAGAGAGATGGAAGGATGTCTCCACAGGTCATTAATATTGATTTAGGAAGGGCACATTCATGTTAATGAAATTCACAGTCTCCCAGGCTGGAAGTAAGCTTTTCCTCTGTACTCCCATTGCACCAACTTCCTTGCCATCTTATGGCCTGAAGATTATTTTGTCACCTTTTCTGGTTATTCTCTGTTCTCTCCTCAAGTAAACTGTAAGTTCCTTCAAGTTTCTGTTTTTGCAAGACATTATCTGTCTTAATCTTTCCAGTTAATACCATTTGTATCAATGGCAGCAACACTATAATTCTTAGTATCTCACATTAACTAGTCAGTAAGGATTTATTTTAACAGTAGGAGTGGAAATAGGAGGACAGGGACACACAAGAATGTCAGGCTTCACACTTGTGTTAAAAACTCAAAATTACTTTCTTTTCTGTAGCAAAACTGTACAGCAAATTTCAAGATTAATCCCATGACTCATCCATCATCTATGGGACTGGGAGTTCATGAAGAAGCAAAGCTTGGTATGTTCAAAGTTCTGTTGCCTTGATAATTGTTTTGAATGTCAGTGGATGCAAACACATTTCCTCTTGTACTGTCACTGAAGCCAGGAACATATGTACTAAGAGCAGTTTCTTCCAGCTGTGCAGGAGCCTGCTGAATATCCAAAGGTACTCTTACTACAGGAAGGCTGTGCTAAATGGTTATCTGAGTGAGCATCTAGAACGTAAATAGCCGTGCCAGTGCTCCCACAGTGACCAGTAACAGGACTCAAGGGATACATTCGCCATGACTGGAGGAATATCAAAATCAATAACTTACTGAACATTTTCTTATATTTTAATTGAAATATCATTGACATACAATCTTATGTTGGTTTCAAATGAACATTTTTAATATCCAGCCCTCTGGCAGTTACTGGAGTAGCTCCAAGAACTGGGCTCTTTTGGCCAAAAATCCCTGAAGAGATTGCTTTTCACTTCCTGTTCCAGATCACTCTGAATACTTGTAGTTGCTATTTTTTCTTGACAAAGAAAAGTTGCAATAAAATCTGCTTTATTCTTAGTTTCAACAACACTGTAGTTCTTTTATTACCAATGTTTTGTAGAGTTCCTACAAGTTTTTCTCTTTTTGAGTGTTAACCAACTTGGAGAATGGTCTGCTCAGCATCTCTATGTGCTCCACCTAACTTGTCCAACAGCCACAAACAAATAATTCAACTTCTAAAACTTCCCTGCCAAGTTTTGAATTTCCTCTGGAAAAATTACACTGAGCATAAGCGTTTGATGTTGTTCCTTTGATGGCATGCCTAGATAGGAATTAGCTCTTTGTCTCTGCTCCAAAATCCTTATCAAGCATGCAGTCAGCTTTATCTAAACTTAGTATTTGAGTTTTCTGAGACCAGTTTCTTTCTTTGCCTGTGATATCCACTTATCTGCCAAGGATAGTGACACATAATACATCACAGCCTTATAATGTCTGAATGAGAAAGGAAGGGAATGCCATTCTTGGTTCAGGCACTCTGTAGGCAACTGACATACTTCTCTGGATTTATCTTTACATGTTCTTAGAGATAGGGGTTACTATTTTCACTTTACATACAACAGATGTCGGATAATTTATCTTGTAAGTGACAGAGGCAGGAATCCAACTAAGCTCTGTCTGATTTCAAAGTTCACATTACTTCTGTTACCCTGTCTTCATCTCTCAGTTCTCTGCTGTTGACAGTTAATTGGCTTTCCACAAATATTTGTTGACCACATGGAGAAATGGATGAATGGCTGAAATGATTGAAAGAAACCATCTGAGACTTCATGGACAACGCTAATCTGAGAAACAGAAATGCTAATAGGCATCTTTATAAAATTGGTTTGCATTTCTAAGTAGTTCTGTCTCTTCTGCCAAAGAAAGGCTGCTCCAACCTTCTTGTGAAGTGAGAAGAGAAACACTGTGCTCCACTGTACCTGCAGCTGGGACAGACTTCAGCCAAAATTGATAAGTAAGTGAAGTGAGATTTAGGGGCCCTTCCATCTCAGCACTTGGTGGCTCCCCCTTAGCACTATCCATGTAGCCACTCCCTGAGCTGAGTCTGGGCCATTCTTCAGAATTAACTCCACTTTCCCTAGTTGTGCAGTCTTAGGTATTGGTCACAGAGGGAAAGTAATCCCAGAAGAGAATTCTCATGAGGAAGTTTAGTTTATAGAATTTGGAACCAAGTAGCCTGGGTTCAGAAAATGTATGGGCTTCACTTTTTTTGGGGGGGGGGGGGCTTCACTTTTTAGTTCCGTTCCAAAACTTTGGAGTGTGTGAATGTCCTCACACGGTTGGTAGGAGGATAAAAGTTGATGTAGATAAAGGCTGAGGATCACAGTAGAAACTCATTGAAATGTAGCTATTACATATAGGTTTTAGCTCAATTTTTGGGACCCAGGAGGCCTCTACTTTTCCAACCAAAAATAAAGAAACATTTTGGAGATTTGTGATATTTTATTTACATCATAAACATTACAAAATTCAAAAACATAGTTAAATAATTTGCAATCACCTTTATTAAGGAGAAAAGCCATATACATTTGGAACTATACTAGAACTTGGGCTTACCTTGCTAACTTTGGGTTTTCACCTTAATTTAATTCTCTTTGGAGAAGTTCTGTTCTAAAATATACAGCAGATGTTCAATTTGTGAGCACTGGGGTCCTACTGAGTATAGGACATTGTCCAATGTACACCCTCTGCACTCCCACCTTGGAAACAAAAGGGAAGCTCCCACAAAAGTGTTGGGAGATAATTCTCTGTGGTCTCTCATGTTTCTGCAAAATTTTCAAGCAGAACTAACTGCATTTTTCATTCTAGTTTATCTTTTCACAGATGTTTGTTGAGTGGAAACCTTGGAAAATAGCCTCTCTTTGAAGAGCAAAGCACAGGTTTATTGTCCAGTACAATAAAGGTAATATTTCCATTTGGGATAAAAGTTGGCAGGGTCTGTTCTCAGTCCATTAACAGGTTCAGGTTCTCTAAGCTCAGGATTTCACTGCATGCTCTGCTCCCCTGGGCCCCCTCTACCTCAGCACCAGGGACTTGGGGAGCAAGGGGAACCACTCAAATGTAAAGCTCATGTTGTTTGCTATGCTATGATTTATAAAGTCCATTGTCTCTAATCCAGGATTCTCTTGTCTTCTGCCAGTATGAAACTATGACAGGCTTACTTGTTAGCTTGAGATTATACAAAAATTCACATCCTTTCCAGTTCTTGATGAAGAGCTTGTGAAAGCCCTTCGATGTGCTATTGTCAGCCCAGAGGACTCAGAAATTTCTTCTGACTGAGGATTGAAGGTCACTTAGGGAAATCGTCCCAGGAGAGGTAATACCAGAGCTGGGTCTTGACTGATGAGTAGAAGCTGTCGAGACAAAAATGAGGTGCAGATGTGCATATGTTTGAAAATTGTAATGCTAGTGCTTGATTGTAAGGGGATGGGCATGACAGGAGGTAATTTAGAAAGCAGTTCGGGAGTATATTGCAAAAAAACAACGGAAAATGATTTCTGCATTTTCTGCTCTACTAAGTCTGATGTGGATTGTCTCATTTAACTAGCACAGCATTTTTCTGCGGTGGGTATTACCAACCTTTTTGAAGAAATTAAGCCTCAGAGAATTCAAATAATTTCTCTGAGATCAGCGAGCCCAATAACTACCACCACAACAATGTAAAACCCATGCTTTTTCCAAACATCTTCAGCCACTCAGGGAGGAGTTTTAGACTGTTGTTCTGTGGGTCACATTAGGAACCATCTCTGTTTTGTTGTTGTTGTTTCCTTCTTCCTTTAGATCAAGAGGCCCTGATCAAGTCCATGGTAAAAGGGCAGTTTGGAAGCAGCAGAGGTATTGGAAATCTGGCAAGAGTGAGAGTAGTTATAATTGTAGTGATCCATTTGAGCATTTTTAAGTGGCCTGGAACTGGGTTATGCCATTTGTGATGAAGAAGAGTGAATAATTCATGGAGTTTGGAAGGCTAGTGTACATATTGTAAAGGTGAAATGATTTTTTTTTTTTAAGGTACAGAGCTTTGTGGTTTGGATAACTAGAGGATTTCAATGCAATTAAATAGATGATTCTGATGGAGAACCTTTGAGGGACAACATTATTAATTAAGTTTATAAATAAGTGGGATCGCAGAGTGAGTTTTTGATAGTGAAATTTCAGACAGCTTTTGCTTTGGGAAAGGTGCATTTTGGAACAAAAGATGTTCAGTTTTTCATTGAGTTGACAAATTAGTTTTTCATTGGTAATTGTTGATGAAAAGAAAATCCTAAAGTTCTAGAATATAATTATATTAGAGTTTTATTTGAGTCCAGATTGAGGACAGCTGCTTGGGAAACACAGCCTTTCTGAAGAAAAGTGTTCCAGGAGAAGATATCTTTTTTGCAAGGCTATATATGCTTTTAAACAGAGGATATAAGTCACAGTATCAATAGATACCTCTTACAGAATCGTACATACAGAAATGGGTGGTACAGGGTATTTCTTTGACCATTATCTAGGCACAAGGTATTGTAAAACTATTCAGAGGTAAAACAGATGTACAGTGTTTACCCTACAGACCATAAAATCAGGTCTCTGTTTTAGATAACCCAAGTGTTAAGTCCAGGCACTTCTCAGATGCACATATTCTTAGAATTTCTTCTTGACATAATTAGAACCTAATAATTAAAATGATACAGCTGATGATAAGACAGCATTTAAAAGACGTGTTTACCAACCAGTAAGAAACAAGATCATACACAGAAGAATTTATAAGAAGCATGTGAATGCTTATTTACCCACTCTAGCTTTTACTGTATTTCATTAAAAGTCTTATTGGTAACATTGTTATTTCAGATTTTTACTGAAATAAAACTCCCCTCCCTTACTAAACAATTTTGGCTTAAAACAACAGATTCGTCCTTTCTTATACCCTTCCATCAGCTGTCTCTGAAACTCCCTCCAAAAACTGAGTCCTTGAAAATATTTGAAGCAAGCATTACTCATAAGCAGAGAAAAGGCCAAAATTTCTGTGACACTGGTGATTCTCTTCTTCTTTACACTAGTTTTAAAAAGAAAACCTGAATGATTCATACCATCTGTGGATTTAAATGTTTCTCCTATCACTTAAAAGAATATAACTTTTCTCTGAAAATGAAAAAAATGTTTTTTTTTACAAATCTTTTTCTCTAATGAAATATATATGCACACAGCAAGTTTCAGATCATTGTTTAGTCAGAGCTCCAGTTAACTGGCTGATTCACCACCCTGTCAATACCAAGATAATTTTTCTCAATGACAGGGACAACTGGCTGGATGTTAGCCAATGTTTATTCATCTAGGTGTGTTGCCTAATAACTAACTCATTCTTAAGTTTTTCATGAGGGAACACACACACACACACACACGCAAATACAAACAAAAGCCTGGGAAGAGAGAGAGACAAGAGAGACAGAGACAGAGGAGAAGGGAAGTAAGAGCAAATGCGAGGTGGTACATTGATGGAAATAAACACTTGAAGGTGTGATTTCTTTATTAGCCTGCAAAGGCAATTTATTCCTCAAATTCCTGTACAGAAATATACTTAACAGCAGACAGTATGAATGTTTGAATAGGAAAGGGAGGGCAGTTCTTTTTATATTACAAGTTTAAAATTAGCAATGGTAATATGTCTATTGGAATTCGAAATCAGTTTTTTTAAACTTTGCTATCAATGAATGGAGAGGCTTCAGCCAGAGCCAAGATCAGGTTCAACCAATGACTTTTACTTACTATGGTAAATAAGTCATATGAAATTTCTTTGACTAGAGAAAAGTATAAACAACACATGGTCAGCAATTGAAAATAATTTTTACATGTTTTTTTTACATGTTTTGCTATTATTAATCCTACAGATGAAACTTCTTTAGATTCCACAAAAATAGTACCCCAGAATATTATAGCTACATGTTTTGCTAGAGCAATGGAATCATAGCTTATTAAATGATTTTGGTAAATATAACTCTATAAACCATTAAAATATACTCTTAGCACTCACTTTCAGATGAGTTCCAGGAGGTTTTAGGGAAAAAGTGTTTGACCACATATTCATTTAGTATAGAGACATTAAGAAAATATGTGACTTCTTTGATGTAGTCAAAGCTTGGTTTCATAGTAAACCAAAGGTATTTATTTGCTGAAAATGCTATCATAGTAAGCTAAGCCTTCAGTGTTGGATCTGCAAACAGAAAGGCTTTAGGAATTGAGGTGAATTATCCTCTCCATTGCAGGGATCACCAGGCACTGATCACCATATTTTTTCTATAAAAGACTGAATAGCAAATATTTTCAGCTTTGATGGTCATGGTCTCGGTCTACAACTGCTCATCTGCACTCTTCTAGTGTGAAAGCGCCATAGACAACACAAAAATGCCTGAGTGTAGCTTTGTCCAATTAAATTTTATTACAAAATCAGGTTACAGACTGGACGTGGCCTGTGAGCTATAGATTGCCAACACCTGGTCTAAATTACGTGTGTATTTGCATTCAAGCCTCCATTCTCCAGCACTTAATAATTAAGATTTGTTGAATGAATAAATGAATTTTTAAAGTAGACTGATAGAATGAATATACAAATTCAGTCAAAAATTTAACAAGTGTACATTCAGATTTAGACACAGGACACACAATTTTAGACTCTAGAGATACAAGAGTTGAATAAACAGGCCAAAAAATAAAATCCCTGCCCTTACAGAGAGTTATATTTGTGAGGGACAGCAGACAATATAAAGAGAAATTCCAAAATATATAGTATGTTAGATGGAAACAGGCAATAAGGAAATAAGGAAGGCATAGGGGTTAGGACTTGTCAGGAAAATTACCTCATTTTAGATTAGGTAATGAAGAAGGTTTCGTATAAAGGTTATGTTTGAGTAAAAGCCAGAAGTGGGAGAAACATGTTCTAGGCATAAATAACAACAAATACAAAGGTTCTTAAAGGGTATTTGTAATATAGTTAATATAAATTAGTAATTTCAAATAAGATATTATTTATATGTAATGAAATGAACCTGAGGTATGGCAGGGACATGGGACAAGCATCGCCATTAATTTTTCCTACCTATGATGAGAAGGCCTAGATATAAAAAGTATAGTAAAAACAGGAAGGATTCCATTTCAAGGGTAAGATTTCACTTTCAAAAAAGCAGGCAATTAAGAGGTAAAATTCTTAACATATTTTATGGTAGTCAGCCAGTAACTAGCCCTATCTTAAGGTGGGGCAAGCAGCCATAAATGGTATGTCTCCATAGCTTGAGGGTAACCACTATCTTGGAGAAGAACAGGATAAAAGAATTCCTTATGTTAAGTTTATCTAACAGAATCTCTAGAGGACTGACTATGGATGATCACATAAAGTCTCTCACCTGAGATAGAGCTGGACATCATGAGACCTCATAGCAAGCCTACGACCCACCCCCAACCCGGCAACCCTTGACCCTTTGCCCCATTCTTGAAATCCGTAAAAGAGGGAATCCTAAGCTTCTAAGCACGTCTCCTCTCCGAGGTTGGGTTGCCTACACTCCTTTCTGAGTGTGTACTGTCTTATATAAAATAAACTTCTTTTCTGCATAAACTGAAGGCTCTTGTCTTTGAGCTCTTTTCTGTAATAAAGATAAGAATTCTCCAACCTTCACCTCTGGTGGTAAATATCTTTGTCATTTTCCTATTTCATTCAGCTTTCTAGACTTAAGCACAAGTCTTAAGCACTCTCTCTGTCCTACTTCAGACAAGTAGGGAAGGGCTACTAAGATCTCTGATTTGGGCTTGCAAGTTCCCATTGCCTGGGTGAGCCAGAGGGGCTGCAGCTGTGCAATCATGCTCTTCAGTAGTCTGTCTGAAAACTCCTTTCTTTGCTTTGGGGAAGTTCCAGAATATAATCTCACTCCATCC